GTCAAAAGGCAACATTTACATGGAAAAGAACTATTCTCATGTACAGTTTGCTGGGTAGGCATTGCATCATGTAGATTTACAGCAAAAAATAATTTTAAAATAAAATGTAACTTATGGAAAAATATCCAGACTGGGTTTGTCACTTTTGAGCTCTTAATGATAGGGTTCTGAATTTGATGGTGAATACATGTTTGCTAGATGTAGGATATCAACTTTCAGAGGACACCATAGCTTCATTTAAAGCAAAGCTGTTTTCATAGATAACTATCTGTTTAGTAGCTTTGTAAAATACTGAAGATGGTTAGGCTGCACTAAAGCAGCTGCTAAATGACAAAGGAACATAATATAAACTGCAGATAATTTAAGGCTGGATTATATCACCTTCTCTTTTTGAAGATTAAAAAAATGTCTTCTACCTTGTCCAATATTTTACTTTAAAAGATTTGTGTTGTTCTACAGCTGTGAACTTGAAATATTCAAGTACAAAACTAGTATTTCAATATCTAGTTTTAGAGCTTAAGAATTCTGAAAAGCAAAACCATGCAACTGGCATTAGCAACCACATAAAATGTCTGTATTTCCAATCTACCAAAATGTATAAATTGATGACCATTTATTTGTTGTGACAGTACCTTGCCACAGAAGCAACTACTATTCTAGCTGCCAGCTCCTTGTAGTACTCTGTTCTGACAATGTTGCAGCCATAATGACGCAGGGCAACATGCTGAGCCTTCGCATATAGAGAACTAATATCTGTGGAAGTCACCGATACTATTCCCAGATTTCTTACATTTCTGAAGGCAGAATCCAGGTAATTCACAGATGTTCCAAATGGGTCCAAATGTCTGAAAAATAAAGATACATTTAAGATACAATAAAGAATCTACATACATACAGCTATTTATTTTTAATCTTGGATGGGGGAAATGTAAAACCCCTCATTTATACCAACATATGTAGAAAAATAAAAATAGACTTATTTCGTTGCATGCCTTTCAAACTTTTTGTATTCCATAATCATTTACACACCACTAAGTAACATGTAGTCAAGACACACGTTAGGTAATACAATAGGCTGATGCCTATTGATCGATCACATGTCTATCAAGCCCTCACATCATAGTATACTAGCTTACTGAACTTAAAAGAATATTGGCCAAAATATATATATTTATTCTGTCATCTTTCAAAATGTAAAAGAAGGACTCAGATTGGAAATATTGGGTACATACACTTGCAAATGTCATCAGTTAGAAACAAGTAACCTGATATTCACAGATTTTGAATGCTTATAAGTCCCAATGCACTGCACTATGCTTTTAAAAAAAAAATAAAAAAAAATCAAACCACTCATTTGATGGTTACATAAGGATTGAGTGCCAACATTTGGGGCACCCACCAACATTTGGGCACCCAAGTTAAATATTTTTGCCTTATATTACAATTAAAACCATTAGAATTAACTTTGTTATTTAAGAACAGGTTGAAATCACTGGTCCACTATAATTTTATGAAACAATGAGCACGGAGATGAATTTCAAATTAGCTAAGATTATATGAAAGAGTCTAAGTCTCACATTTCTCCCCACAAAGGCAAAGAATTTAAACCAAACAGGAATTTTGCTTAAAGTTTCAGACATATGTTTAGCTGCATCAGGGGTGTTAAACATATGGCTCACAGGCTGGATCTAACTTGTGGAGCCATATGATCTGGGCCATGGGTTACTGGAACAACCCTATCTGCCAGCCCCAGCTCTGTCCCCATGTACTGCATGTGGGCTGGATCTGGCACCATATGCCCTGCCCACAGCACAGGGGGCATGCAGCGCCGTGGTCCAAGCCCCTTGCACTGCATGCAGCAGTAGGTCCAATCTGTGTCAGCCCTGCATACCACGTGCACAACAAGCCCCATAGCACGTGCTACACAGGGGATCAAATCCTGGTCTAGCCCACAGACCGGCCCAGCAACACTCATCTGGCCTGAGGGGATGTATAAGTTTCCAGCCTCTGAGTTTTACCTTATGTTTCACTCTGAAAGTAAGAAAGTCTTAATATTTTTACAATGATTATTCTTAAAAAGAGTTAAATTAAGGCTGTACCTTCTACAGTCCTTCAGGAACTATGGAATTACTTCTAAAAACAAAACAAGTAACAGTCCATGATCTCAACTATTCAATCTTCGTCAAATAAACACAAGCAAATCTTCTTCAAATAAACACAAACATAAATTATATATTCAAGATCAAAGCATATCCCAGATAAAACTGTGTTAATAAGTAATTTATACTTACATGAAATCAAAGGATCGTAAATGCATTATGACATTGGCATCCATTTTTGTCACCTCAATAGTGCCTATATTTTCTTCTCCCTCTTCCATAGCTTCATCACAGTCATCCTCTTCCTTAGAGGTCATCACTACTTTCATCTTGTTTAAATGGCAGTTTTCCTGAATCATTGTCACAGAATTTTCATTACAGTCGTTAATTGTAACCTTCACAGAATTTCCAAGGTGCTTTGCCCACTGCAGTCCCATTATACCTGCGGGAAGAGACAAATGCATAGTTTTCAGGATGACTGTAGAAACAGAAAAAGGCACTAGCTCTTGATGGCAAACCTAAAAGGCACCTAACATAAATATGTGATGAAAATTTAGGTCTTGATCCTGCAGGGACTCTATTGCCCTATGTGAAATCTTGCTGATGTCTTTCCAGTTCTCATTACAGAATCAACTACATACATATATAGAAAACTACTTCTGGACTCTGGAAGTAAGACAGAAAACTACTTCTGGACTCTGAGATTTCTACTGAATTCAGTAGGAAAATAATACTATAACCAGCACAGAAGTAAAAAAAATCAATCTGTTCATTTTAGCTGATACTAAATTTTTCAATGTGCTGTAGATTTTTCAAATAACAATACATAAGTGCATTGTAGAAGCTGGAGGGTTTGACAGTCAGGTAGAAGGTAATTGTTACTTTTGAAATGGTTTGGAACTGAGAGATGAACACATTCACAGGATCTTTCTGCTAAAATACTCAACAGTCAATGTTTCATTTAAAATGTCATCTTTAGGTTTAGAATAATATCCAACTGATATCGATGGGTATATCATGCCTCTAGGATCTATTGTTTCAGACTGTGTACAGACCCAGGGAAATTTTATTGCTTTAAATTTATATTCTGGATATCTTTTATAATCAGAATGATTGGAAACATTTCTTAAGCAAAATTTAAGGGCAGGGATTAATTTGCAGTGAAATATCAAAAAGTACACAGAACCTAGGGTATAATTTACCAAGTTAAAGACTCATAGTATTTCAGGTACTTTAAGGTGGTAAAACTCTTCCCTTAAGAAGAGTATTTAACATAAGCTTAATATTAGTTATGTTCTTTTTATCTATCCGGAGTCAAATCCTGAGCTCCTAAACTCAAGGTAACTCTTGTGGCAGTTAATGGTGGCCTGCCTAAGAACGAACCTCAGTATCTGGCCTAAGGTACTTTGATATACAAAGGGACCTTTTCATTAGACTGATTTTCTTTAATTATGTACTTTCATTGTATTAGTATCAAGTAAAATGAGGTTACAAAATTTTCTTTACCAGTGGCCCCAAATGCATCCAAACACTCTAAGGGGTTCCGTTCTTCAGCCAAAACAGCTAATGCACAGAATATGAGTTGCCTAGAAGACGAAAAATCATCATAATAAATGCAAGATCTAAACTTTATCATATCTTCTTGTTTCTTCTTTCTCTAGGGCTATAATTACAAGAACTGGGTTTAAGAGATCTCTGAGAGTTTCTTAGTTAGAATTTACATTCGTTACACAAAACAGCATTTGTAGTTAATTCAGTAACTTTATAGCCAAATACTTTTATATTCATCTATGGAGACATAAGACATCACTATACTGCAAAGTTTCATACTTTGCCCAGTGAATTAATATATCAGGAGAGATTTGAAAGACAAGAATTTGCTAGTTATTTTGATTTCAACCCTACACTATTGTATATAGCACTGATGGCCAAGAGTAAATGTCATGCATTTGTCCTGCTTTTTAGGGAATTTAATGTTGCCCTATTAAAGACAACAAACCCAAAACTTCCTTGCAGGTTGTTTTTATTTTTTTTTAATTGATGACTGCTAGCAATAGCCTGCTAGGTTGAAAATAGCTAATAAGCTTCATAAACTAGACTGAGAAAGACTCTCGCATTTATCTGTGACAGGGTTTTTTCTGTAGCAGTACCATGGTAAAGACCAAAAGGCAGTGAAACTTCACTGTGTAGAAATACCAGGTCTAGCTTTTATGAAAAACACTGCAAGTGCTGGTGACCTGCAGCCTCATTATGGACTACAAAACTCATAGGGTGTCCTGGAGGACTGGGTTGAGCTCTGACCTGATATAGATACTTTGTTATGGGTAAACAGGTTAGTTGGTTTAAAACAGTGGTTCCCAACCTTTTTTTGCTATGACCTGCTGCTGGGAGCGGAGTGCAGCGGCAGTGGGCCGGGCAGCTCTCGGTACGCAGTGCAACTCGTCGTTTGTGTGTGGTGCTGCCAGCATTTTTCCCACGACCCTCATTTGGGTCACGACCTGAGGTTGGGAACCACTGGATTAAGAGAATCACACTTTTGGATTGCAGTGGAGGCATATTTTATGACTTCTCTAAGGAAGATGTAATACACAGTTCCATCCTTTTTAATGTCATTGTACCCGCCTCCGTTCCACCAGGAGTTCGCGCGCCGCCTTCGCCCGGACCCGATATCTTGCACACCCGGACTTCGTTGGTACACCCCAGGATTTGCCCCGCCTGGTATAAAGGGAGACCCCAGAACTTGCCTGCCATGACTTTGATGACTCTTTCAGTGGGGGGACTTCCCTTGGGCCATCCCCCGGTGCTGGCGCGCTTCTTTGCGGGTACTCTCGGGGCTCAGTCCTCCCCTACACCCTGACCATAGGCCCCCTCAGGTCTTCCTATCCTGGCCCCCAATCCGTCCTCGTCTCGCCCTCTCTCGGTTCAGTCCCGCTGGCGACTACCAGCGGTCTTCGGACCGGGCATGCCTCTCCCCGTAGGGATGCTGACCTGATCCCTCCTTCCTTGGGATGCGGATGTCCCCTCTGCTCCCCCAATAGTTCCTGCCGCAGTTACCCGTGCCGTCGGCTCTGTAGTTGGTGCAGCTGTCGCGCCTCCGGCTGCCTCGGGTGTCGGGTTCCCCGCTGGCTGCTGCCCCCTTCACAGGGCTGACTTCTCCCCTTGTTGTCTCGCTCCCGGGTGCTCCACCGCGCTGCTCGCAGCCTGCTCCGTTGCGCTGCTCGCAGCCTGCTCTGCCTCTGCTCAGCGTCATCCCGCACTCCGCGGGTGCTCCGCCCCGCTGCTCGCCGCCTGCTCCGCCCCGCTGCTCGCCGCCTGCTCCGCCTCCGTTCGGCGTTGTCCCGCACTCCG